CAACCTACAAAATGGAGTACTTTCCTTCCTTGGGCAAAACACTCCTTCAATACCAGATTTCATACTTCCATAAGAACCACACCTTTCAATGTTGTGTATGGACGAGATCTTCCTCCATTGCATCCTTATGTTCCTGGTGAAACACACCTTGTTGAACTAGAAGAGCGACTTCTCCTTCGTGATGACATGCTGAAACTTTTATGAGTCAATCTCTTAAAAGCCCAATCACAGATGAAAGCACAAGCTGATGCAAAGCGACGCGAACTAAGTTCCAATGTTGGCGACTCTGTCTTTTTAAGGATTCAACCATATTGCCAACAATCACTTGCTAAGCGAAGGTATGAGAAACTTTCTCCAAGATTTTTTGGTCCCTACAAAGTTATTCAGCAAGTAGGACCAGTGGCATGTGAATTGGAACTACCTGCTTCTTCGTGAGTCCACCCCATTTTCCATGTGTCCCTGTTGTGTCCAGCCTTGGGGCAAATGCCAACGACACCACCTACTCCACTCCATCTTACTTCAGATTGGGAGCTCAGCCTATCACCTGCCAAAGTCTTGTCTCACCAGTGGCTTAAGGAAGCTGGTGTGCCTATTTTGGAGCTGCTTATCCAATGAGAAGATCGCCCCCTTGAAGAAGCTTCCTCGGAGAATTATGACCTTCTAGCTAGACAATTTCCTTCTTTTTGCCTTGAGGACCAGTCGAGTTTTCAGGGAGAAGGTATTAATAGAATTTCACCCTTAAAGACTTATTCAAGGAAAAGGACACATGGCAGAAAACAGATGGCTGAAGACCAGTTCCAACTTCCTTAATTTTCTGCATATCTCTCAGGAATCCATCTCTTTTTTCATAGGAATTTAGTTATAAGTGTTAGCAAATAATACTCCAGGATATGCACTATAAATATCTTAGGAATCTATTTCCTTTTTCATAGGAACTTAGTTAGGATTATTAGCAAATAATCTTCCAAGATATGCACTATAAATATCCCCGAAGTTGTTTTAAATTAGGATTAGGAATTAACAATTGAATTATTATGTTGGAGATTTGTCCTCTCGAATTGGACTAGCTTATTAGTTGTTTTTGTGTTGAAAATTCTTTCACTTCTACAGGTAATAATATTTTCTCATTTATTTTTCATATCTTTTTCTTGTGTCTATCAGTATGATTTATATATGAACTATTTAAACTAATGAATAACTGCTCTATTAGTTGATAAAGGATAAAAAAAAATTATCAATTGAATATATATATATATATATATTCATTCTCATAGAAAATATTTTTAAACTTTTTTCTTAAGAAGAAATAAAACCCTAAAATATAAAAAACATTAATTTCGAATATTCCTGATTCTTAGTTTAATAAGGTAAGGAATTTTTACTTGTGGGTGTGTTCACATGATTATATTAACTAACAAGCATTGAAAGAATAACTTATATCCGGATCATCAAGTAGCTCAGACAAGACTGGCATATATATATATATATATATATATATGGGAATGACTGGAAAGTTACATTCAATTAGGACTTCTAAATAAAAGATTTAAAACGTTTTTGGGAAACAGATTGACAACGTCTTAATCAACTGTAAGAGAGAGGCTTGTACTATATGTTTGTGCTCGTCAATCCCTAAACTGGATCTATTGAAAGAGAACCGGATCTAAGCCTGCAATATGCTAATTAAAGGGCGTAATCCTACTAGATATAGCCTTCAGTTAAAAAACAAAACTGCATTAATGAGAGAATCACATACCATGGACAGAAGAAGGACCATTGCCGTCCCCCCCCCCCCCCCCAAAACAAGACACCATTGACAAAAATCATCAATGATTAATCCATCTACATTAATCTCATCACAATCAACAACAATTTTTTTAATAATTTCCATCTGTCTGCATTACCCTGTATCAACAAAATTTACTGGATGCCTGAGTAATATAAAGATTTCACTCAAACTAACAACTCGTTGGTAAATTATATAATTATTTTTATTAATGATTGTTTGATTATAAACACCCCCATTAGTTTTGAATTAATCAAAATAAGCCCAAATGATTAAGTGGATATGGATCCAACTTGAAAAGACATGGGGGTAGGTAAGCTAGAAAAGACACAAAAGAAATTAACAAAAAAGGGAATTCTTTCAATGCAGATGAGGGAGGAAATTAAAGAATTATCAGATACATATGCACAGCATAAACGCGTATTTTATGCATATAAATGGCCTCTAATGGAACATTCTTACAAGCTAGATAAACGAAAATTGAAAATTAATATGGGCCGTAGGATTGATCTCTTAGAGAGTATGGGCTGTCAGTTTTGAGGCAGTCAAAGGATGGGGGTTGGTGGGTACGGGAAAGATGCAAGAAGGTTCAACTTTATAAGGATGAAATCTAGATGTAAGATATGGGTTTTGCAAATGCGGTTGGTACAACCAGAAGAAAATACAAATTCAAAGGCTTGCAATTGAGACCAAAGGCTTTTCAAATATTTGTGAAATTTTGAAATTAAAAAGAAACAAATAAATGAATAAATAAAACGAAGGACCAAAAAGAAAGCTGCAGAAATTGTTTAAAAGCCCTGGTACTCTTTGTTATTATAAGAGTAGGTAGCCTCCTTTACCTTTTACCATATGGAGAGGGAATGTTAGCACGGGCTTCTTAAGACTCGTGTATTTTAAGAAATGAGAATGCAACCTAACTTTTTAAACTAATAATTAAATAAAAAATATTTGACTTGGAGATGGGAGAAAGAATTTGACGAGTAAGTGACCAATTCTAGTATTATTTGCTTAATTGGGTGCTTCTTACAAACTAAAATATTCGTTGGTGACAATTCAAATATTTTTTCCTCTTTTTTTCCAAAGGATGGGAAAATCCAATTTATTTGAACTTTTAGCAAATGACCAGAAACAACAAAGCAATTTCACTTGATTTAAATTTTATTTTTTCCTTCACATAAATTTTCGATTTTTTGCTCTTAACTTTCTGTATCTTTGAAAATAAAAAATATCGAAATTAAAATTTACTTTTCAAGTGAATTTATGAAAATTTATAAATAAATATTTATTATTCATGAATTTTAAATATAATTAAACAAGATTATATCATTTTCTGCTGCACCAACCCTTTTCATTTGAACCTGAAAAGATTTTTCAGCAGCTTGACTTGACATCCATGCTCGATGCACTTAGGTTGCCTTTGACAAAAATGGATGCACCTTGACCACAGTAGGAGGGGTAAAAATGGTAAATTGCAGAAAATTAGCCCCAAGAAAAAAAAAAGAATTGTTGACGTCATTCTGGTGTCAGGGTCCTCCCTTCTCAATCTTGTCATCCAATAATTTGGGGACATATTTGTGGATGAGAGAGTTTGTCTTGATTGATCGTACGGAGGTTCTGTCTCTTTCAGAATTATGGTCTATTAAATAATTAATTAATAATTTCTAAAATTTTTGTAAGGTAACCAGGTTAATTAAACTTATATAAGTTCTAAATATTTAATAATAATGTACAATAAAATAAAATATTATTTAAACAATAGTCATTTTTTCCTGTTTGGTTTCTCAAATATTGGGAAGTTGATTGGGTTTCAAAAAGCCCCTTTTTAATCAATCATTTAAAATTAATTTTTTTAATATTATAAAATTAAATAATTTAAAAGTCATTCTTTCACCGACTTAAATGTACACATTTTTATTTTTTATATCAAAATTTTAAAAATATTATTTTTTAAAATTATATTTTAAACACTTATATTTTAAAATGTAAAATATATATTTCTAAAAGTTGTGTCTAATCTCATAAGTACTTATTTTACTTCTATTAAAAAATATATTATTTTATCTTTCACATTTTCTTGTACAAACTCAACTCTCTCTCTATATATATGTATATATATATATGTATTTATTTATATATGTATATGTGTATCTATATGTATGTATGTACATGAATATAAATGATATACACACACACACACTTATATATATTAATCATTTATCTCTAAATTTTGTCATTTAATTCTTATATTAATTTTTTAATTTATTCTTTTATTAATATTAATATTTAACATACTAATTATTTTATATAAATCCTTATCTTCAAAATAATATATAAAAAATACAATTTAAAAAATATATCTCAAAAATCTATATAACATATATTAAAAAACCGTTGTTCCTATTGTCTTTAAAACATTATATAACAAAATATGTTTCATTTTTAAAAATATATTTTTTTTAATATCATAAAAGAATTAATATTTATTTTTTAAAAAAATCTATCATTACTAATTCAAATTCAAAATCCTTGAATAAAGAAAATTATTAATTATTTTTCTAAATATTGAGAATTTAAAAATTTTAAAACTCTAAGTAATTGTGTATAGTCTATATAAACAGTTGAATTCATGTTAATCAATTATATTTTACAATTTTTTAAATTAACATTCATCTTTATCACTAATCAACAACCATAGCTCTTGAACAAGTCACGCCAATCCAATACAACCCTCCCCCCCCCCCCCCCCCCTCCTTGGGGGCTGGGTCTCTCTCTCTCTCTCTCTCTCTCTCTCTCTCTCTCTCTCTCTCTCTCACCACTCTCTGTCTAACATGGTAGCCGGCTAACCGCGGTAGGTAAGTTGGTGTGCATTATTTTCACTTATATATTGGCACCGCAGGCTTCCATTCCTTCACAGTGCGGTGTAGAAATTTTCCGAATCTTTCATTCCTCTTCGTTCCAAACAACCTTATCTTTGTCTCCCCGTCGCCGATTCCCCCCACAACCCTCCCCGAGAAAGTCACCATGCCGTCGGTTTCCGAGCAGACTGTGTGCGTTACCGGCGCTGGTGGCTTCATAGCCTCGTGGATGGTCAAATTGCTCTTGGAGAAGGGATATTCCGTCAGGGCACCGTCAGAAACCCAGGCAAGAGCTCGACTATACGTCTATGCAAGCGATTAGATTGCAATTTTAAGTATGTAGTTTATTTAATAGACTTATGCGTGTGGTTGCAGATGATGCGAAGAATGATCATCTGAGGGACCTTGAAGGAGCAAAGGAGAGACTGACTCTGTGCAAAGCCGATCTTCTAGATTTCGAGAGTTTGCGCGAAGCCATTAATGGGTGTGATGGGGTTTTCCACACCGCGTCCCCCGTGACCGATGACCCAGTAAGTTTGTAATCGATTTTCGCAACCCTCTGTTTGGTGGGAGAGAAAAAGCTGAGGAAAATAGAAGGAACCCGAAGGAAAATGTCAAATAGAAAGTGAACCTTACCTAACCTTTTTTAGGTTTCATTCCGCTTTTGGCTCTATCCGAAGCACAATTAAGCTCCTCTCGCTTTTCGACTATTCTCTGTTTGGTCGAACAGAAAGCGGAGGAAAAATAGAAGAAAAAGGAAAATGCCAAAGAAAAAAAATGAAAGCATTAATTTCAATTTCATAGTTGACTATGTTCACATAGCAGAGAAATATCTTCCAAACTAAAATAATTAATGTCTCCTGGGAGGCCTTCGCATTCGATTGTTATGGTTATTTAATTTTTGGGTTTACTTTATCTGAAACCAAACATTTTTAATTTGTGGTAAAATATGAAGGAAGAAATGGTGGAGCCTGCGGTGAACGGGACGAAGAACGTGATAATTGCAGCGGCAGAGGCGAAGGCTCGGCGTGTGGTGTTCACATCGTCGATCGGGGCGGTGACGATGGATCCCAATCGGGACCCTGAGACGGTGGTCGACGAGAGCTGCTGGAGTGACCTCGAGTTCTGCAAAGCCACTAAGGTTTATCTATCATTCGGGTTTTTGGGTTAAATACTTATCGGTCTTAACTGATCTGGTCTTCTAGACAAAATTGAGCTGTGGTAAATTGGGTTTTTCTGTATCCGTGGAGGGTGTAGATATTTTGTATTTTAAAATTAGGTATAATTAATTTTATATATTTTTGTGAAAAAAATGGAAATTAAACAAAATTCCCATCAAATTAAATTAAATTTCCGCTGCAATTGAGTATGTTGGAAAGCCATTAGCGTTCTGATGTTTGGGTCCTCTTAAGTTATAAACAGTTATGTTGCGTTTTAACTTAATTTGATGGGTGGAATGTAACTGCAGAACTGGTACTGCTACGGGAAGGCGGTGGCAGAGCAGGCGGCGTGGGATGTGGCGAAGGAGAAAGGGGTGGACCTGGTGGTGGTGAATCCGGTGCTGGTTCTCGGACCGCTCTTGCAACCCAGTCTCAATGCCAGCATCATTCACATTCTCAAGTACCTCAACGGTTCCACCAATACCTACACCAACTCCGTCCAGGCCTACGTGCATGTGGAGGACGTGGCGCGGGCCCATATTCTGGTCTACGAGACTCCCTCCGCCTCCGGCCGCTACTTATGCGCCGAGAGTGTGCTTCATCGGGGAGATGTGGTGGAAATTCTGGCAAAGTTCTTCCCGGAGTACCCCATTCCCTTGAAGTAAGTACAATTATCTTCTCTCTAAAAATTTAATCCCAAGTCCGCCTTATCAACTTATGGCCAAGATAACTGCAGTTCCTCTTTCCTTTTCACCAACTCCCCTCACCAAGTTTACAATGACGGAGCTTGAGAAGTCTGTCCACCTCTTTCTTGGGGGGTCCTGGTGGAGTAGCAGGGTAAAATTATTGGAAGTGGCAAGCTTTCTTCTTGTGGTGGGGTAGTAGGTGCACCAAACACCGATTATTGATATATGATCCATGATTAAAAACAGAAAAATTTTGATTTTGAACCTCGCATGTGGGACATGATGGTCCATCAACGAAAATAAAAACTTGTGGGTGCGGAGGATCCTCACCAACCCCCAAGTCCCTGTCACCCGTTAGACTCGAATTGCCCAATGCCCACCTCACAGCCCGTCCTCGGTCGACAGATCATTGAAGGCCACGTGTGTAATCGATGTCATGATGCACGCACAAGCGCGTCTTGATGGGTTTAAGAAAACAGATGGAGTAATGGGCCACGTTTGGATTTTTGCGTAACGAGTACTTGCCCTGCATACAGGATAATGACTCCCTGCCAAAACTCCATCGAATTCTCGTCTCATGTTCCGTTTCTTCCTCATAATTATTATATATTTGTGCTAGTTGACAGCGAAATGTGGCTAGGGAGTTAAATTAAATTGTTTTGCCAACCTTAATTGCATTTTTCTTCTGCAAAAATTTTAGCTTTCTAGCTAGCAATGATATGATAGGGATATTTGGAACTTGGTTTTGAAAATATTTCCTTTGTTTCCGAAAGCAGAATGTTGATATATTAGTTTTACATATTTTGGTAAAATGAAGGTGCAAGGATGAGACAAAGCCGAGGCTGAAACCATACAAGTTCTCAAACCAGAAGCTGAAGGACTTGGGTTTGGAGTTCACGCCGGTGAAGCAGGCGTTGTATGATACGGTCAAGAGCTTGCAAGAGAAGGGACACCTTCCAATACCCACCCAGAATGATGAATCTAGTCTTCGAATCCAGTCTTAAAGCTCTTAGATAGGTCTTCATCTACCGAGGTTACAAGTTTAATGCTTCCTGGTTAAACTAAAAAAGAATTAAAAAAAAAAAAAGAAAAAAAGAAAAAGCAAGTAGAATATGTGGTTTTAATTATTTTGTGCTGATCCGCCCTGCAAGTCTATAATATCCTTGTGATTCTATCAAGTCTGAATCGTATTATGGTAAGGTGTTATGATCCGCCCTGCAAGTCTATAATATCCTTGTGATTCTATCAAGTCTGAATCGTATTATGGTAAGGTGTTAGAGATTATTTGCGCTTTTGTTCTTTTGCCTGGAATATTGTCTTACACCTCTTTCTGTAGGGTTGGTAATTATAATTTACCCATTTAAAGATGAATGAAATTTAACTATATAAATCTGGATCATGTTGATTACAGACACTGAGGATGGAAAAAAGAAAGGAAAAAGCTTTCTGAATTTTTTCATTGTCCAATTCCCGTAGCCACCAAAATTTTATTTTCAAGTAATTTCGGACGACATTATCATTCCGTTTATCAACTTAAACTTAAGGATGAGAGATGGGTTTCTGGAGCGCATTCAGAGGGGAGACCTAGGACCCCCCTTTCATCCAATCAAATGACAAAGTAAAGCTCTGGTGGGACTTAGAAATCAATACTACAATCAATCACACAACCCGTAAGAAAGAAACAAAAAACAAACAAGAATAGGATTTGTAAAGGATAGGAAGATTGGGCGAGAAACCTTTTTTCTTTTTTCTTTCTTTTTTTTTTCTTTTCAAGTTAAGGCGAGAAAATCTTAAACTATTAAAGCGACCCATCTGCCCAGGGAACAGAAAACTAGGATCTCAAATTCTGAAGATTCCGTTGGGATGCCCTGGATGGTTCCACAGAACAGAACTAGGTAGTAGAATAAATGGGGGAGATATAGACAGTAACCTACTTCAACATTCCCCGTCAATCACTTGATATTTTCACTTAAGAACTTTCACAATAGAAAACAAATAAGAAGGCAGCGGTGGTGGTTGAGCGTTGATAATGAGCTTAGCTTAAACAAAATTATTAAAAGTCCAATCGCTGATGCCTAAAACCTAACGGTCTAAATTCTGTCGGCCACCTGCAAGTCAAATATAGTCAACCAGACGCCTACCTTTCACAAGGGTTTCCTGGAAATTACATGGAAGTTGCATTGGGATAGCCAGATAGGCGAAGGCCTGACTTTCTGGTGCAGGGTCTTTCGCGAATCCTCCTCCACAAATCCACTTATATTTGGATAAAAGTAACTCCAATAATGAGAAAATACAAAAAGGGGAAAACAAAAGAGAAACTTGAGAAAATAAAAGATCTCATAACTTGTTCACATCTCTAATCTCAATTTGCATTTCTATTGTGAGCGCTTCAGATGAGTTCGGAATTAGGAAAGATCTACCTCGTTTGAGAGTGTTTTTCAAATTTTAAAAAATATATTCATGAGCTATTTACGAAAAAGGGCTGGTTGGCCAAAGAAAGAAGAACTAAATCCTCTTATTTGCCAAAAGACAGGTTTGCCATAGATTCCGCAGTTTGCTATAGATTACAATGCCAAACTAGCTAGATTCTTAGTTTTCTGCAATACAAAAGGGATAGATTTTGCTGTAAAAAAGCCTAAATAGCTGCTAGGAAAAGGGATGAATGGGAGAAGCCCAATAAAGGTACAGCATTTTATATATGATTTGCTTCTAAATTAGAAGTTATTAGAAGTTTTATACTGGTTAGATTCTACTTCCCTACTGTATTGCTTCTCAACCATTACTCAACATCTACCATGGCCCGTCTCTGAGGCAATTGCATGCTGACTATATCCTCTCTGGGGGGATTATAAACAGACCCACCACCCAACTCGTTTCCATTTTGTCCACTTTCAGTCAATGTTAATGCAAGAAGATGTGTAGCTTCCTTGTTTTTCCGAAAGACCAAGTATGCAATTGCTGCCAAATATATCAACATACCTGAAAATCCCAATATTCCACAAAACACAGCGCCTACAACTTTTAAATGGCTATGGAGAAGCAATTTGATGAAGCCAGTTGCAAGATAGTATATATTTATGCCCATAATCAGGGATCCAATTAGCCAAGTAGTTGCTGAAATCTGCAAGAAAGAAATAAATTTGAAAAAAAAAATTAACAGCACCATTCAAGGGAACAAAAAAATGTAAAAAAATAAAAATCATAATAAAACCAGGTGCAAACCTTCCCTATTGATCATTCCAAGGCTATATGTTGTATTTATTCTGTAATTGGTTTGGTTTTTATTGCCATATGAGCTCCCCCACACCCCACCCGTGCGCGTGCACAGGCGGGAGAAAAGAAAAAAGAATAGAAGAAAACGAAAAAAAAAAAGGGAAGAGGAACATTGGTTGATGCAAACAATTGTCTAGGGGCATAATGATAGCAATGATTTCAGAAGTATATCCGCTAATGCAAACAATAGAAGGCTACTTTATCACATACACATGTTCAAATGCATGAACATACATAGGTATCAATACTTGCACAAACTCTAATTGTAAGTTGTACAGTGCTTAGGTCGTATTTATGAAGAAAAAACAAAGCAACATGCAATGAAGTTTACCACTGTTGAGTTGGCATATGTTCCCATCTTTGTCTTGCTGCTTGTGAACTTGAGAAGAGGAACAAGAGCGAAAGGGAGTTCAAATGATAAAATCATCTGCCAGAATAACATTATCTAATAAACACTAAATATAATGATGGAATAACAACAAAAGAAGTGAGCCCCAGCAAAATTTTTGACCAGCAAAAATATGACACCACTTGAATGGAAGATCATATCCTTTGCAAGTGATTTACTCTAAACAATAATGTTTTCTCTTATAGATTCTAACATCTATTCCTGCATAGTTCAGCTAAATTGAGCTATCTAGAGCTGTTCTGTGCAGATTCCAGCCCTTCAATTTCAAAAATCATTAATGACTTTGTCGCACTGTCTTTTTTATCACAACATGGATTTTGGTTCGACATGAGAAGAATTTATTCAATGTGAATTACAGATTCTTCTAAACATATAGTCAAAGGAAATTTTAGAGCTTATGTACGGTTGCTGGTAAATGCTTGCATGCTAATACCTTGTAACACATACCTAAAGTAATATCCTCTTTTTGTTTGTTCAGGTTCAAAGCAAAAGGAAATATCCAAAAGTCTGGCCGGTTTGGTTTTGTTTTCGAGAACTGTTTTTTTTGCTTCTGATAGTAGAGAAACAAGAACTGATATGGAAACTTGTTTGACAGATTGTTCTAGAGAACTGTATCAGAGAATAAGATCATGTTCAGAGAACAACAAAAAATCATTGTCAGAATTTTCAAAAACTAGGTTAATCAAAAATGTAAATGATACAAAAACAACACACTTTACGAAGTCCCCTGAGTTCTCTCAACTCCACGCAATAAAGCCTTTCCCAACTACATGGGATCAGCCACATGGATCCTCCTCCACTCAGCTCTGTCCAGACTCCAGAGTCGCTAGTTCAGTTAAACACATTTAATCATATCTTTCTTTATTGGTCTTCGTCACCCCCTATTGCTACCCTCCACTTGTATGCAAGGTTTGAAAAACCGGGCCACTCATCGAATTGGGAAAATTGCTGGTTCACATTTCACCAGTCCAACTGTTAATTGAACCATAATTAAACCGTAATTAAACCATGACGTTATAATTGTATAATGTTTATATTTATATTTATATAAATACCAAAAATATTTTAAATAGTCAATATTATTAATTACTTACAATGATATCAATTAATATTCATGATTCAATTATTATAGTGCATGCAAAATAAAAATAACAAACCATCAACCTATCATTCAAATGATTATGAAGAATTTAAATTCTTATTGTTTATATTCACAACTACTCTAAAAGAAAAAAAAAGTTCTTAAGTCATAAGTTCTCTTACATGGTTACAAATTGACCAAAACAAAGAATAATATCAAACAATTATAAAAATAAAAATAAGATACAAAATTAAAAATAATTAAATTAGTTATATTTATTTTTTGAAATATAGATTAGGGACTCAATTTTACATCTTCTTTATTTTTTAATCAATTGTTATCATAAAAAATTAAATTTAATATAAATGATTTTAATTTTATATTTTATATTACACTTTCAAATTTAAAATTTTATGAAAGATGTGAATCATTCATCATATGATGAAATTAGAATAAATTTATTTAAAACAAATTGTCAATATATATTTTAACAAAAATAGCTTTATACCAAAGTGGCAGTGGTTTAATGGTAGACTAGTGCCACTATTCTGTGCAATAGATGCAGGTTCAATTCCTTGCTCATGCACCACCACTTTGGCAATTTTAGAAAAAATAAATTATTGGATTTTAGACTGTCTGATTTGCATTGAACCGTGTCCAGTTCACTACAGTGAACAGTTAGAAAAAATAAATTATTGGATTTTAGACTGTTTGATTTGCATTGAACCGTGACCAGTTCACTAGAGTGAACAGTCCAACCGCCAGTTTGAACGGTTTTTAAAAAATAAAGCGGTTTTCTTGCCTATACCGGTTTCTAATGAAAACCAAACTGGTAATAATATAACTGGTCAACAGTTCAACCGGCTGGTCTAGTCTGGTTTTCTAAACCATACTAGTATGATGTTACTTTTTTCTGACCAATGGATTTAGAGGTTTTCTCCTTAATTATCAGAAAATACAGAAGGGTGAAAGTTGATAAGCAAAAAACAGAAAACAGATAGCAATATGAAATAAGCAGCCACTTGACAACAAGGAAAGAAGATACAAGCACTGTGAACAAAGACTAGTAAAACATAAATGACAAATCTAAATCAGGCAGCCTAGCTTAATTACAAGCTACAGTCAAGTTATATACTTCCTTTTTCATAGAATACTGAAAATAAGATGTCATACCATAAATGAATAAATTAGGAAAAAGTTGGCAAGCACTTGTATTGCAGTATCATATGAACCTCTGTAGTTTCAATTATGAAGAATACAGTGAGTGGTCATAAAACATATCTAGGAGTTAAAAATCTTGGAAGCAACAAAAATTTACCGAAGCAATAATTATCAACTTTCCAGCTCCAGCAGAGCCACCAATAAGGGCCACTATCAGACTAGGGATAATTGCCAAGCAGCGAGTCAAGAAGTTGCGAATCCATGGCTTCAGTCGTAAATCAAGAAAGCCCTGAAAAAAAAGAAGTATAAAACCATCAAAGTCATCAAAAGGATTCACATGGAAGATGATAAATCCCAGCCAAGATATTCGAAACATTTAAGGATATTATCCGAGACATGTGCAACAATACAGAACCTGAATTCACCCAAATAGTTATTTTAGTAGACTCTATAAAAAGAAGTACAAAAAAAAAAAAAAAGAAATGAACAGGATGCAAAATTTGCAAGACCATCCATTATATACAGGAAGGCAGTTAATACAGTGACTTCAGGAGAAAGATAACACCAGAAAGGATGGTAGATCATAAATCAATTTTCACATTCCAACTAATAGTTCATCGAGGAATGCCATATTTTGTCAGATCTACTCCCATCAGTTTTCTTAAGAGAATATATTTGGGTAACATAAAAACCATATCAGAAAGCCTAGTTACGGAAAATGAATGCAACTCTACATTTATGCTTAAAAGCATTTTGAACAGGTTGAAAGTGATATTCTGAAGACAGTTAGAAAAACCACTGTAAATATTTGATCTCCAAAAGATAGTTTTAGAGAACTGAATACCTGCATAACGTACTGCCCAGCATATGTCCCTGTTATTGTAGAACTTTGACCTGAGGCTAGCAAAGCAATTGCAAAAAGCTTTGAACTCCAACTGCCTAAAACATTCTGTGAACACATACCCAAAAGGAAAAAACAAACAGAACAAGTAACGTCATGAACATCTGGTGATAGGAGCTCTAGAAGAAGGCCCAAAATGACAAGAATTAACTTTATCAGTATCTAGCCAAAACCAATGGGAAAGACCAAATGAGCATTGAACTATGAACATGTCATGGGAGCTACAGGTCACATACCTTCAGTAAAAAGGAAGCTTTGTTCAAGTCCAAGTTTTCACAGTTCTGCTGATCATCTTGGTTTAAATTTGAGGAATTGCAAACTGCACCACTCACTGATATGACTGATACATTGATAAGAAAAGCTACCAGTAGAGCAAACCCACTTTCAATCATATAAAACCTGCAAGCCTCCTGTAATGAAGAAAGCCCTTCATTTAGGAGAATTTTGAGGAACCAAAGTAAGATCATTGTGCCTATGTTTTAACAGGACGAACAATCCAGGAAGCCCTAGAAAGAGTAAGTTCCAAGAGGAAAAATTACTGATCTTCAGAAAAAAAATAATAGAATGGATAAATGTAGTGATCTGAGAAATAAACCAATAACTTGATCTGTATTCTTCCTAAGATTTAGTAAAAGAGCCATTCACAATAATTTCTATTCAAAGAAAGGACAAAAATAATTTCAGGACATTTAGCGTTCTCTCTCTCTCTCTCTCTCTCTCTCTCCCTTTTTCCATTTCATATGTCTTCTCCATTTTCCTTCTTTCCAGCTTGTGTATTCATTTGCCGCTGCAATTATAAAGTTTTATAGATTCAGAATCACTCAACAAATTCTTCTGAAAAACACTGGTTGCCATCTTTTTCCTCCCAATCTGATGCCTATCACCATCTGTGGTGGGAAAACATTGCCACTTGATCCATAGGCAAGAGAACAACTGACACCACATAGCCATACCCAACAATAAGTACAGCCAAAATCATTTTTCTTTTCAGAAATATATATTTTATTGATTGAGGGTAAAATCTAAAATTTTCAAACTTAAACTAGAATTTACTTGATGATGTAATTTAGAGGGAAAAAAGTCAATGTTGATACTTAATCCAAACTTGGGGTTTTGTAAAATTACATGATCACTATCAAAGGAATACAATCATTGTGTGTATATAGGCATACTCTCAACAATCACCAGTTGTAAAGCTGCATATATGGTAGCTCTCAATAAAGCTGACCAACTGAAATGTCAAGAAAGGTATTAAAGACAAAAAATTACTTTGATTCCATTAACAGATCGTGGTATTTTTCTTGATAGGACCAAAGCTGAATGAAGGAAGAGATTGTGTCTGCAGGAGGTGAAAGAAAATTAAGAAATAAGAATAAGAATAGGAAACTTGGAACCAGAAAAATGATAACAATTAGAATAAACATAAAGAAACTTACGGCATAACCATGGCCCCAAGAAGTGAAATTGCCAGGCCAGTAGCACCATCTCCCTTCAGTTGAGGAATGAACAGCCCATGCAACACCTCTGAAGTATTGGGCTTAGCATATCCAAGCTCCGCAAAAAAACATGCCGCAATAGTAAATACCAGAAATGCAATCAAGAATTCAAGTTTCCTCACCTGCACAATGATCAAATTATTTTCACACATCCATTCTAAATTGGATGAAATTCTGTAAGTCTTTTTGTTACTACATAGTCAATCTTACATTCTGATGTGATCTAACCTATGATGCATGAGTAAAAGAATAGTCTAAATTACCCCATATTGCTGTAATGCTAGTAAAATCAATGTACTCAGTCCTGTCAGAAGAACACCACACCATACTGGAACTTTGAAGAGCATGTTTAAAGCAAAGGCTGTTCCAATCACTGGACACAATAAAGAACAGTAAATTAAGTATTGAAATACCCCAAGCCACTATAAGTTAAAATACGACACAAATTCAAATTTAGAAGTCCAGTAAGGTTGGAATAAACCAAATCATGAAGTTGGCACACTAATGTTGGTGCACCATTTACTTGGCAGGAGAGATGTTACATCTTGCAGAGACTCAAAAATATTCTACGAAATATTTGTGGAATATCTAATTTCTTATTTTTGGATAGCCATACAATTTGTTGTCATTTACAGGTACTATGGAAGTTAATTTGTTGTGTCTTTCAATCATAAATATAAGAAGCCAAATATCTCCACTGCACTAGGTCTCCCTGTTATATAGCATAGCAGAGGTCCTTCAATACCAAAATTTGCCATAGATAAGGTGAATTCAAGCAACCCAACTTTCCAAATTGACAGACATACCATCACGTTGAGATTTAGCATCAACCAAATTGAAATTAATAAACCATACATGAAAACTCAGGAAGGTCCATTCTGTCCCCGTGGAACAACTCCTGATTCATATAATAAAGGTTATTTTAACAAAATAATCTTCATCTTGGATGTATTTAAGAAAAATTGATATGGTGAGTCTGATTACTACTAGCTTTCAAAAATTTCGATAGGATTGCAAGCAAAAATCTGCTGCACTAGTGAGGACATTCTTTTTAAGATAGATTCACCTTATACAGGGTTCAGATTACAAAAATCATTACCTTCAGGAATGTCACATGCAACTATGGCAATTTCAGCCAGAACCCACAAGATGAAATTCGGCACTTTTGGATATTCAATTCTACAATGCTCTGCTAAATGTTTTCCTACAATTTAAAACAAGCTTAATATGTAAGTTTATTCACAAACAATGAGCTGGAAACCACTGAGTATAGCAAAGATATAAGATCAGTTAATGAAAAGACCGCATACCAGTGACAACACCTAAGTTTGCTGCAAGAGATTGAATGATGAGAGCAGCGACAGAAGCCACTAAAATAATCCAAAGTAACTGAAAGTAAAAAATACCATAATAAAGAGTAATGTGAATTACAGAAACCGAGTTAAAAATTAAAATAAAAATCTGAACAGGAAAGAGAAAAGATGTTAAAACAAAGAAAAAGAAGTGATTAGATTTCTATCATTGTCAAGAATGTATAAAATCTCCAAGGGTGCGACCTAATTCTTGGATGGTTTGCGTCATTTAGTTTGTCTGAGCCAAGTCAACCCACCCCAAACCACACATTAGCAGTTACTTTGCCATCTTATGGATGAATGACATAATAAGGTTTAAGTCAATATATATATGCATGAGGCCAAAGCAATAAGAAAAACACATATATGGCAATATAAATAAAGGAGGGACGTTTATTCTCTATCAAAACTTTCCTATTCTTAAATCTCAAATTATATTTTTCTGCTGAGTAAAGATTTACATACCTCATATTTGTACTGTGCTCCTGACTGTAGGTCCGTTTCAACTGTAAGTTAGCCACATTGTGTAAGCAAGGGCATAACAGTTTAAAGCAGCAGATTTATTCATTAAGATAAAAGGAAAATCAAATCTTACAATTGCCAGGATCTATATATGCAATAGAAACAAGAAATCCAGGTCCCATATAAGCAAACAAATTTCTCCAGCTTTTCTTCTGCATATAATAAAAGGCCGTCAGTCAAGTAATTGCTACTAAATTGCAATGCCAGCTCCCTAGTTGCATATATTGCAATTGGTCACAGAGATAAACACTTTTTCAAGTATAAAGTCACATAAGGGTGTAGGCTAACAGACAACTAGATATATCAAATAGATGAAATTCTTTTCCCAAAGTTGCAAGCTACTGCACTCAATCTTTCTAGGAAAAATAATTCTCAAAGTGATGAAATAAAGTGAAAAAAAAAACTATTTATAATTTTCCCAGCACCTCTGCAATATTCTGACTAATAGTCTCATGGTAAAGCTTGCTCTAATTAAAGCAATTTAGCATCATGTAAATAGAACAGAAAAATTCAGTTGCACAGAATACAAGCCCTTGAAAATCCACTTTTATATTCATTTGAAATGCTCTCCACTAAATTCAGTTCAAGACTATATGGTGATGTAGAAAATTACTACAATAAAACGAATTAAAAGCAAGAATGTGAATAATTCCATTTACTGCACCTTTTTCATATTTGGAAGATGATATTTTCTACTGTTTGAAGATTATAAAATGTAACATACTTGTCATATGGAAGATAAAGATATTATTATGTTCATGTACATAAAAGTACAGTAGTTATTTATGACAATGTCTACTCCGTGAGGCCTGTGGCTTGTCCTAATTATTAGGTAATTTCCGTGTCAACAAGTCCATAATTCTCTGTAATGTCATACTCTGACTCATTTCCATGTCAACTTCTAAGGAAATACTGCATTTATTCATGGTTTAGAAATAGATTGGACCTATCCTCTATGTTTCATTGAAGATTACATAAAAATGACCCCTATTTTGTTTTCATTATTCAATAGAAGTTGGCAAAAACTTTCTGCAGAATAGAGTTTTTCTACAACTTTCAGCTGAACTCATGAGCTTGACTGGTGCTAGGAAATGACTTTAGCTATATTATGCAAGTATAATAGATACAAGGAAGACAAAAATTAACTTGAGCTGTTAAAAACAGAAATTACAACTTCCAAATGAAGCAGAATGGAAAGGTGGTATCCATGTAGCCTACACCATGTAACAAGAAAAAGGAATAGTGAAGTTGAGTACATTAGAACATGAACATAAGTTAGCATCCAATAATTTTCATGTTTCTTTTCAGATGAGTACGGTGTCCATCCTTTTCTTTTGCTGGTTGGTGAGCAAAGTTAGTTGTACCAGATGGGCGTTTGATAAAGAAATGAAAATGGAAAGAGTTTATATGGCATTTTGCTGGGGAATCTCTATTATTATAGGTACTGTAGGAGGTATCCACTCAAATTGAACTCTCAAACAGAATGAGATTTTAATTTTTATATTTGTTCAGAATATGGTTGAAGTCTTAAGTATAGCTAACTGAAGACACAAACTATGTAATAAAATCTAAAATATCTAAAATTTGGGGAAGAAAAAAGGTGCAAAAATTGGACCACACAGTTGGAAGTTACATCCTCGTCCCAAATTCCTACAGCCACAAATAATCATGGATTGCACTGTTGCAAGGTTAGACTCAGGTGAAACTCTCATTGAATGGAGGGTGGCGAGATACTTGACGCGAGGAGTGCGGAATTCGAAGGGGCAGACCCTCCTGGACGGTTGTGTCACTTTCGCATTGAAGCCAATCACATTCCTTGATCCACCAAATTAGTTATCGTACCATCTTAAGAAAAAGTAAGCTCAAACAAAGTAAATGAAGGAAATGTGAGCGCTGCTCTTATTTTCTCCTCAGGATTGAGTTAGGGTTTACTATAGCCATCTGGTAACTTGTCTCCTCCGAAATGAAAAGAAAAACAAACCAAAAACACAAACAGCAGGGGGGACAAAAAACTGAACAGTCATCATATAAGATTTAACAACTGTTACGATAGTAGCCGCATCGAATTCAAATTCCCAATTCCGCCCAGTTAATAGGTTGGATCGAGAACAAAAAATGATACTGATAAACTTATATAACAGTTTGATTCAGGAACATCTAACACTCACATCAGGAACAACAATCTGATCGGACTCCACATTCTCGATGAGAGGCGCGTTAGAAGAACTCCGGTTTCCAGTGCTGGCGATGAACTGCGACTGCGCAGGCGGGGAAGGCGCCATCGTCCGATACTGTACTCTGTTCCGAGCGAGACATAGAAACAGCCTCAAATCAACGAATCCACACAACAGGAGTGGCCAAAATCACAAAATACTAGAACATGCATGAATGCCAAATACATATATTTGTGTGCACGCCAGTGTAGAAGAAAGATTACACGAATGAACAAAGAATGAAGAGAGTGATGATCAAATGGACGCGAACCTAAACAAGCAGAACAAGAAACTACTGAGATTGAATGCAATGGAGAAGGCTGCAAGAAGCCTCGGGTTCGCTGAAAAGTCGGCTTTTGGCAAAGAATGCAGAAAGCCAAGTACGCATTCACTTGAATTTATAAGTGAATGAGTCCGCGCATGGTATGGTCCCCACTCTACGGCGTGGAGGGCTCCCTCCGCTCGAGTAATCTTCCTTTCGAGCGTTGGGCCTTTTTTTAATCAGCTTTCGAGCTCAAAATTATTTTTCAAAACAATTTCTTAGGTTATTTTAATAACATCGGGTCTTTTCTCATTGTAGTTTGTATTTGAACGTCAAAATTTTAAAAAATAGAAATTTTCAAAAAAAAAAATAGTGGATTGAAAAATGACCTTTTTGGGCTTGTGAATTTTTTTAATTCTTTATATTAAATTGAACAATCTAAAATAATAAAAATAAAAACCCACAAAAAATTCTAAATTTGTTTAAGTCAACTAAATAGCTCCTAAAATTTTTTAAAGTCATCCAATTTAAAATGTTTTTACCTTTTAAAAACTTAAAACAGGAAAATAGGAGCACGAAGTTAGGTCCAAGGACTGTTTGTGCGCATTTGGGGCAGCACTGAAAAGCCACCTTCTGCTTTTTATGGTAGAGTAAATAAAGTGGGTAATTGAAAATTTTAATCCCACAGTAATTTTATTTACCATTTAAAACTGTTTTACCACAAAACAAATAATAATTTATCAAATTGAGACGGAAACGATAAATATATTTAGTTTTACTGAGTTGAAAGATACTTATAACGTAATAATTAATTCAATAATACTTATTCATTTTACAAGTACAAGTTCGCACTGATAATTTTTTACAATAGAAGAAAAATGAATATTCTAAAGAATTTGCCAAAGAATAAATTAATAGCACATGCTACATAAATGATTTTAGTCACTGTATAAAGTTATTTCTTTTACCATAAAACAATTAATAATGTATCAAACTGAGGTTGAGACGAAGGGCATCTTTGGTTTTACTGAATTGAAACTAAATTCGGTAATGCTTACACAAGAGGAAAATGAATATTTAAAGGATTTTCCGAGCCATAAATTAATGGTATTTTCTTTCGACCCATTAATGAAAGCCAATAAATGAGTAGCAACTAATGTCAACATAGGAGGATCAGTTTCTTACTATGTAATGAAAAATCCAATTGCAAAATAATAAATAAATAAATAAATAAATAAAGAATTTTCAAGCCGGTCTCCCTTAAATTGCAAAATTATATCAACCTAAATATCGTCCCAATTTCCAAACCCATTACCTAACACGGTGTTATTAAACCCACTTCCCAACACGGTGTTATCATTTGAATTATTGCAATTTAAGATAGGTTTTAAAAATTAAAAAATAAAAAATACGATGATCTCTTCCTGCTAATAATGGAAATTGGGTTGCTCTCCATACGTTATTTGCCTAGATTCAATTATTTACAGTAAATATTACCCAAATACTACCCTCAGGTATATAAATAAACACTATTATTCAAAAATAAAGGGTAATTTGTAATTTTTTCCAAAGTCCAAAGTGTCTTTTGGGCATTAAAATTTTCTGTTTAGAATTCATTTTCTCACCGTAAAAATTAATTTGCCAAGTTATTTATGTATTTTATATTATATTTTTGAATAAAAATTGTAATTTTTAAAAGTTTTTCAAGTATAACTTAAAACACACTCACTATTGAATTAAATTACAAGAAAAAACCTAATTCGTGACACGTGGGCGTGAATTTATAACTCCTAAGTTGTAGAGTTATTTTATGTTAATAAAATATTATTCGCATTTTTGAAGGGCATAGTGCGTAACTCACACGCAAAGAAAGTTGAAGAACTCACTTTTGTGATCTTTTGACCGAGGAGGCGATCAGATGCTGCTACGTCAGCGCATATCAAGGCGGGCCCCTGGCGCTCGGAGCCACCGGGGAATTTTGTTCAAGAAAAGCTGCGGGGCTCGTGCCTTGCACGTGCACGAGAGGCTGTAGGAATCTTACGTCAGCTGACTGATTTAACCTTTTTTATTTTTGTTATTTTGGTCGACAAAATATGATCGCTGGCTTTATTCTCATAAGTCTCAGTCGCAAGGGTGGGACCGTCTTTGTACTTGCCTTCTGCCGTTTAGATTGACTGGCGCTGTCTGACAGATGTACTGCCAAAATTTGGTGTAACGTAATTCACTGTTCTGTGGTTCTGATTGACAGACAACATCAACTCAAATGACGGCTAGTACCGTGCGGGAGTGCGAAGTGCGATGCGGCCCCTGTAGCCGGGGCCCGTCCTTGCTCCTCATGTCCAAACCAACGGACGGAGGTTCCGCCAATTTTACTAATTGTTTCAAGGATAAATTATACAGCACTCTAGCCATTTTGTCGAATTTTTAAAACTCTTGTCTACGTGGAATAATAAAATTAATTTACCTAAATAAGATAGTAATATATTATTAAAAAATTAATTAAAAATAAAAATATTTAAAAATTTTAAATACCAAATGTAACTATCTTAAATATTTTTATATATCATAATTAATGTATGTATTTTTTTGGAAAGAAATATTATTCTATAAATTTTTGTTTTTTTACGTGTATAAATAATATTTGTCCACGTGTCCAAGATTTTGAAATTTAAAAATACCCTTAGTTACGAAAATATTCTTCTTCTTTTAGTGATTTTTGAAATAAATAGAAAAATTTGTAGATTGAGAATTTAAAACTTAAATTTATATTTCAAAATAATTAGAATTAACTTATACTTTTTGTATATTTTTTAATTTATATTTTTCTGTCAATAATACAATAAAAAATTGAGAATTTTATACAAAAACATTTGCAAGTGTTTAAAACCAAACCAATAATTGTCGCCAAAAAAAAAAGTGTTTTATTTTCAAAAGGCCCACACTTGTCATTAATTACCTTTTATGGGTAAATTTCTAAGAAAATAAAAGGTTGAAATTGCTTTACATTCTCCATTTGACAATCAGTGTGTTTGGCTTAAAAAAAATACAGGATTTGAAATTAGAATTGAATTTGGAATTCTATGAACATCAAATTTTAATCTCGTTTTATTATTTGGCTTGAAACTTAAATTTATTCTTTAAATTTTTATTTGGTGTTTAAAAAAATGAAATTTGAAATTAAAATTTTGCTTTTACTACTATATGCATTTTTTAATACACCATAGCTAGAATTTTTTTTTTAATAAAACAACAATACAAGGAGTAGGTTGCACAAGCCAATACTGCTGTAATGGTTGTCATTTGTTTTATTTGATCCAATTCTCTCATTTTGATCCGTTTAAAAGATAAGTTAACTTCATGTACACTTCAAATTGGATTACTAATGGGTGAGTAAATATAGTAAAATATTTGTTTATACAAGAAAATAAATTGGGTTTAATTTTATAAAAGTACACATTTGCGAATAGACAAACAAACAGTCTGAATAAAATTAATCTCATATTATAAAATAAATAAAAATATACTTATAAAAAAAATTTAAAAAATTGATCATAATAACTAAAATTACAAACATAGAAAAACATACATTGTGAAGGTTTAAATAATTGCGGAGAATTTGAAACTCGCTAACAAAATCAACAAAGAATAAACACAAACAAAAATTAGGAATGAATTAATTTCTTACCAAAGCGAGTAGTAAAGATAAAAAGGAATGACCATGATAACTAAAATTACAAATATAGGAAAATGTACATTGTGAAGAATTGAAAACTTGCTAACAGAATCCACAAAAGAATAAAAACATGCTAAAGTCAATAGTAAATTCATTTCTTTTCAAAGTGAGCAGTAAGGACAAGAAAAAAATTGATTATGATAACTAAAATTACAAATATAGAAAATATACGTCGTGAAGAATCAAATAATTGCAAAAAATTTGAAAACTAGCTAACAAAATCGGCAAAGAATAAAAACATACCAAAATTAGGAATCAAATAATTTCTTAACGAAGTGAGTAGTAAAGACCAAAAAAAAATGATCATAATAACTAAGATTACAAATATAGGTAAATATACATTGTGAATATTCAAATAATTGTGAAGAATTTGAAAACTTGCTAACAAAATTAGGGGTGTGCAAACCATAATTTTGGTTTGGTTTTTAATATTTTGGTTTAGTTTTTTGGTTTTAATACTCCAAACCTAAAATTTTTGGTTCGGTTCGGTTTAGTTTGGTTTGGTTTTAACTTTAATTTTTTATTAATTAAAAATATTAAAATAAACTATTTATTTTATTTTTTATTATTAAATATACATGTATATGCATGTATATGTACATGTGTGTACATGTATATATAACATATATATGTATATATTCATGTAAATATAAAAATATATATGTATATGTGTACACGTAGCCTTATTCACGATTCCGATCCGAACCATGAATCGGCCCAGATCGGACCGGGAAAAACCGGACCAAACCGGACAGACAATATCTAGTTTGATTCGGTTCTGAATCGTGAAGATTTGCGGTCCAGCTACAGTTCAGGTTTTTTTAAACCAGAACCAAAATTGAAAATGAACCGTGAACTGGAACCGTGAGTGAATCATAAATTAGAACCGTATATAAACCGTGAATGAATCAGACCATAAATGAACCAAATCGTATATGTATAAATATGTAAATACATATATTTATGTATTTATGTATGTATATATATGTGTGTGTGTATTTTATATTTATATACAATATAAATATATGTACATGTACATATATTTATATTTGTATGGGTATAAAAAATTTATATGTATATATGTATGTATGCATGTATGTTTGTGTGAATACATACACATATAAGTATATATATGTATATATCTACATGTATATATATGTATGTATATATATTTATATTTGTATGAGTTGATATAATTTATATATATATATGTATGTATGCATGTATGTTCGTCTATGTGTGTGTGTGTACATACACATATAAGTATATATATGTATATATAGATATATAAATATATATTTATATAAATATATGTAGTGTGTGTATATATTAATATTTTTTATAAAAAAATTTCAAAATTTTGGTTTAAAATGGTTTGGTTTAGTTTTAAATCAAATCAAACTATAATTTTAGATTATTTTTCTAAACTAAACCAAACTAAATTTAAAAAAAATCAAACCAAATTTTAAAATTTTGCTTGATTTGATTAATTAGTTTGGTTTTGCATACCCCTAAACAAAATCGGCAAAGAATAAAAACACACAAAAGTCAATAATAAATTAATGCCTTACCAAAGTGAGCAGTAAAGACAAAAAAAATTAATTATGATTAACTAAAATTACAAATATAGAAAAACATACATTGTGAAGAATCAAATAATTGTGAAGAACTTGAAAAGTAGCTAACAAAATTGGCAAAGAATAAAAACACACGAAAATTAGGAATCAGATGATTTCTTACCAAGTGAGTAATAAAGATAAAAAATAAATGTTCATAATAACTACAATTACAAATATAGAAAAATGTACACTGTGAATAATCAAATAATTGTGAAAAACTTGAAAACTTGCTAACAAAATCGACAAAGAATAAAAAAGATATGAAAATCATGAATCAATTGCTTTCTTACCAAAGTGAGAGGTGCAGTTGGAATCATAGTGAAGAAATTCTTCGACATGTGGAGTGAAAAGGAATTTACATAAATGTCCTTAGTTACAAGAGATTTAATTCTAAGGTTTTATTTGATAAAAATAGAAGACATTATTTAATAATTTTATATATAAAAAATATGAATATTTTAGTCTTTATGTAAATCAACTAAAAAACTTGAACAAGTTTGAAGAATTTTATCTTATTTTATCTTTCTTATAAACTAAATTATTAATATTTAAGTTTTCATTCAACTTATTTATCTAATTTATCAAATATAGCTAATGTGGAATAAATTATCGACCATATGTGTCTAAAATCTTTAAAAGCCAAAAACCATGATATGGTTGAGCATTTGAATTTAAATCCCGTCCATCCTCCTCCAACTACAAGGTCTCTAAAACGCGGTTGGAGAGGTGGCCAAACGGCCTTTAATTCCCTCCCCCCCGGGATGACCCTGTTTTTGAAAATTAGGTCATTACATGAATCATTAAGAAGCCAAGCCGGGCCGTCCTTCACTCATTCTATATAACCATCTACGTCCTTGCCCAAGAACCAAGCACCTCCTCTGTTTCTTATTGCATTCAACTACATCCCACCTCTGTTTGTTGCAATTACTAGTGAAAAACGAGTGATTTTCTGATGGTTTGCATTTTTCCCGGTTATGTACGTACTCCTTTGCCCAACCTACCTTCATCCTCTGTTCTTTTGTTACAATCAGCCACAAAACTACCGCCGTTTTCTCCGAGTACTTGCCGAGTTTAATCAGTTTCGGCTTGAAATCTTGTTATTAACCAGTGAGTTTTGCATTTCCTTGGGTTAGGAATGTACTCATTTGCTCAACCTGCCTTCGTCCTCTGTTATTTTATTACACTCAGCAAGAACCCAACTCTGTTTTCTCCTAGTACTTACCGAATTTAGTCAGTTTCCGCTTGAAATCTTGTTAATAACTACCGGGTTTTGCATTTTTCTTGGCTTAAAAACAGAAGTGTTCTGATGGATGATGGGGATTTTACCGAGGTAGTGGCAGTAGCTCAGGAGGGACAGTTCCTCTGTGTGGAGGAGCACCGGAATTGAGATATTCTCGCGGTCGTCGCGGGCGGAAGACGATGAAGAGGCTCTGAAATGGCTGCCCTGAGAAATTGCCTACTTTTGATCGTCTGAGAAAGGGATTACTGAAAGAGTCTCTTGGTGCGGTCAATGAGGTTGATGTTCAGAACTTGGGTACGAAGAGAGGAAGAATCTGGTGGAGAGGCTGGTAAAAATAGCAGAAGAAGACAATGAGGCCTTCTTGCTGAAGCTCAGGGACCGAATTGATAGGTAAAGACCAAACAGTAATTAAAGTATTTCTATTTTTTGATATTACAAATCACCCTGACTTTGTATGTCCATGTTTAAATAATTCATTTTCAATAAAGATAAGGTGACTTACATCAAATAAGATATTATGAACTCATGTCTTATTTTTTATATTTTTTTGATAAATTTATGTTATATTTTTGTGATGGTATAATAAAACATGGTATGACCCATAATTTTTATTATCATTTTTGTCTCCTTGTCTAATTGATTAGGCATTTTGCCATTTAAATTTTTTTAAATCTTACATTTTTTTGGACTCATGTCTTATTCACGACTGTTTCAATCAATCAACAGTGTTACTTTACTATGATCCAATTGTTATTAATTATGTCATATTCATATTTGTCTCAACAAATTCGTCGTATTGCCGCATCTATAGTCACTTTCATGCTTGGCTTTTGGCCACATCTCCCTTTTGTAGGGGAATTTAGCTTTAACCCCTATTCCTCTCCAACACACACACACACACACACACACACACACACACACACACACACATATATATATAAAAAAAAAAGCTATTCTGATGGTTATAAAAATTTATTTTTTGAAATAAACATTTATTATCAAATCAATTTTTTCGAACTCACTTTTTTTTTTTTTTTTTTTTTTTATCTACTAGCAAACGGACCTGTACTTTCAAAATTTACCTTTCTCAGCAATCATATGTGTGGTTTGCTGGTAGGCTGTCATGCCTAATAAACCTCACTTACAGGCAATCAATCCCTCTAAACTCCTTACCAAATTTAGTAAATCTACCGGAACAAACTAAGAAGCATCATTAACTCTTTATAAATTCTTGCAAAAACCCAAACATCACATATTCACAAATAGATATATACATAGACAGAGATATAAGACTTAAAAGGACTTCTATAGGCGTAACAAGTTACCTTGGAGCTCAATATTCCAAGGTTAGGTCAATATTGTTCGGAATTTAGGGAATCAAATACTAATGAATTGGATTAAGAGGTAAAGCGACAGTTTGGGATAGTTGAAGGGATAATCTTTAATTTGCTTTTTTTCCTTAAAAGAAAAGGGGGTTATGTTTAACCCATTTTTATTTCTTGTTAAAATTTGGCACAGTTGGAATTGATTTACCCACAATTGAGGTTAGATTTGATCATGTTAACGTTGAAGCAGAAGCTTATGTAGAAGCAGGGCTTTGCCTACTTTCGTAACCTTCTTTGTGAATGTACTGGATGTAACAACTAACAGACTTGATTGATTTCTTTCATGTAAATTTTACTCTTGTTTTTTACCATTGGTAATGGTTCTCCTTTCTAATTTGACTTTCAAAAGGGGTTCTTGAACCATCTCCACGTGCTTCCAAGTAGAAAGAAGCATTTGTCTATTCTCCAAGATGTCAGTGGGATAATCAGGCCTTGCAGGTCAGAAGTTTATCTTTCAGTAATCAAATCGTCACCTGTTCTCATTAATTTCTAATACTGATCTCTCATGTGTTTTTCATTTTTCTTTTCTTGGATTGCAGAATGACTCTGCTTCTAGGTCCTCCAAGCTCCGGAAAGACCACGCTGCTCCTGGCTTTAGCTGGGAAGCTTGCTTCTGACCTTAAAGTAAAGAAACCCCGTTTCAGCTTATAATTTGATTCTTATAGATTTGGCTTCATAGAGGGCTTTCAATTTTATTTATTGATCTCCACTATTTACTGATATGTATTTTACCCGTTTGGTGAGAAACAAAAAACAAAAAACACTGATAAAAAGGACTCACCCGCTTCATAGCTACTTATTTCTGTGTACTGTCGCTCATTAGCACCTCATTTACAATTACGATCACATCTTCCCATTGTTTTAAATTCCAAATCATCCTTGACGCTTATCTTTGCAACGAGAACTTCACCCAAAATGGGTAATTGTTTATTTTCAAATCAACACCTTAGTGATTAGTTGAATGGTTTTTACTGATATCTTTCTTTTCGGCAATCCAGTTCTCAGGGAGGGTAACTTACAACGGCTGTGAAATGCATGAGTTTGTACCACAAAGAACAGCTGCATATATCAGTCAAAAAGATGTCCATACTGGGGAAATGACCGTGAGAGAAACCTTGGCATTTTCGGCAAGATGCCAGGGGGTTGGATCCCGTTACGGTTGGTTTCTCTTCTTCTTCTTCTTCTTCTTCTTCTTCTTCTTCTTCTTCATCATCATCATCATTTGTTATATATTTCTATGGAGGTTATACATATAATTTTTTGATTTTGAGCATCTGCAGAAATGCTAGCAGAGTTGTCAAGGAGAGAGAAGGAGGCAAATATCAAGCCTGATCCCGATATTGATATCTTCATGAAGGCAAGGAAAGATATTGAATTTCAATCATTATCATGTTGATGGTATTGTCCAGCTCCTTCTTCATGTTAGTTTTATGTTCCAATCATTTTTACTTAGTGATGGTGATGATTTTACTTTATTATTTTTTCTCAGTTTTCTTGTATTAGTTGGACTATATCTGCAATTAATGATCATACTCAAAAGCGTATAATTTGATCTTATAAATGTTAATTTCTGTGTTCCTAAGAGTTTCCTTCTATTCCTAATTCAGGCAGCCGCAACAGAAGGTCAGGACGCAAGTCTGGTCACAGATTATATTCTAAAGGTATCATCATAATAAAAGAGTATGCAGACATTTTCCATTGCTGAAAACGTAAACATTTTTGTTTTGTAAAATTGTTTTTGAAGAGTTTTTAGAAGATAATCCTCCACATTTTAGAGAATTCCTAGAAACTACTGTTGCTCAAAAAATAAAAATGATTTCCGAAAAGGGGTTCTCAAGATTTTCAACATTTACTGCTTTCGTACACAAAGAATGAAAAGAGAAAGAGAAAACGAAATCGTACTGGCCTACTTGACCAACCTGTTGCACTTTGTATTACAGGTTCTGATCTGGAAGGCTGTGCAGATACCATGTTGGGGATGAAATGACGCGAGGCATCTCTGAAGGACAAGAAAGCGAGTCACAACCGGTAGATAAACTAAATTGGCCATTAAGTCTTTGCCTTTGCTTCATTTATGTGGCTTTTATGCTAAATTTGGCCCAAAATTTTTTGATAAATTACAGCTGAAATGCTGGTCGGACCAGCAAAAGCACTTTTCATGGATGAGATATCTACTGGTTGGACAGTTCCACGACTTTCCAAATTGTGAAATTGCTGAGACAGTATGTTTACATTCTTCAAGGAACAGCACTCATCTCCCTCCTGCAGCCAGCACCCGAGACCTACGATCTCTTCGATGACGTCATTCTCATATCGACGGTCAGATTATTTATCAGGGTCCCGGGAAAATGTGCTCGAGTTTTTCGAATCCATGGCTTCAAATGTCCGAGAGGAAAGGCGTGGCTGATTTCTTGCAAGAAGTAAAACCTGCAATCCACCTCTTTTGTTTCCTCTCATTTACAACTAATAAAATGATCACAAGAGTAACAAGTGGGACTTAACCGTATATAGCTATAAAATCCCAGCTTTTGAACTTTGCAGCTTCAGTTCAGATCTCTGAATTTGAATCTTTCAAAAATCGAAACTGAGCTAAAAAGCTAATACTTTCTACTCTTAGAAAACCAAACTGCACCGACCTTGTCGGTTCGCGTTTTTGTTTTTATCGGGTTGGGTGCACGCCCTAAATTTTTATGTCTTAACAACGAAACATTAATTTGTCACAGGTGACTCAAGGAAAGATCAGGAGCAATACTGGACACGTAGAGACGAGCCTTACAGGTTTATTACTGTCACTGAATTTGCAGAGGCATTCCGGTCATTCCATGCTGGTAAGAGTCTGGGAGATGAGCTTGCAGTCCCATTTGACAAAGCCAAAAGCCATCCAGCTGCCTTGACAACCAGAAAATATGGAGTTAGTAAGAAGGAACTCTTAAAAGCCTGTGCCTCAAGAGAGCTCTTACTGATGAAGAGGAACTCATTTGTCTACATCTTCAAGCTTATGCAAGTGAGCTCTTTCCATTCTCTTCTTAGTGACTTTAAACTTGCGGATAGTAACATTAATCTCTGTTTCTTCTTTTCTTATTTTCTCCTCGGATTTTAGCTGTCTGTAATGGCATTGATTACAATGACACTCTTCTTCCGAACTGAGATGCACCGGAATTCTGAAACTGACGGACAGACATATGCCGGAGCTTTGTTTTTCACCACAGTTATGGTCATGTTTAATGGGCTATCAGAAATTTCAATGACAGTTCTAAAGCTTCCCGTCTTTTACAAGCAAAGGGACCTTCTATTCTATCCATCATGGGCCTATTCTATTCCCATGTGGATTCTTAGGGTGACCGTTTCATGCATTGAAGTCGCTTTGTGGGTGATCCTGACTTACTATGTCGTTGGATATGAACCAAGCATGGAGAGGTAGGAGCTTGATGAAGAAATTAAATAAGTGAACACCGAGTGTTCGTTTTTTCTGTCTGAGACTCATCCTTTCTTGGGACAGCTTCAACGTATTCCTTTAGTAAAATGAGTTGATTGCTTTTTAATTAAAAAAAAAAAAAACAGAAGAAGAAGAAAAGAACAAGAAAGAACTGAACATGTGAAGCACTTATTCGTAACTGAATTGGGTGTTTCTTTTCTGGTAAATGAAAATAACACAATGGCCTTCTTGCAGGCTGCTCAAGCAGTACTTGCTGCTACTTCTGGTAAACCAGATGGCTTCAGCATTGTTCCGGTTTATTGGGGCAGTAGGAAGGAATATGATCGTTGCAAACTCGTTTGGCTCGTTTGTGTGCTCATAGTTTCTGTTTTGTGTGGATTTATCCTATCACGAGGTACAACTTTTCATGGGCTTTTGATAAACTTCTTATCATGTTTGTTTATCTATATTACTTCCGTCTACCTTTTTATATTCCAGAGGATATGAGGAAATGGTGGATATGGGGCTATTGGCATCACCATTGATGTATGCCCAGAACGCCATTCTTGTAAATGAGTTCTTGGGGCATAGTTGGGGACATGTAAGTAAATTAATTTTGATTTTGTATTTGTGAATTAGTTGAATTTGGCTCAAACTAATATCAGGTGATGTCTGAATTCTCTTTCGTGCCAAAGGTTATATCAAATTCAAAAGCATCGCTAGGGGAGGCAATCTTGAAGTCACGAGGTTATTTCCCCTACGCATACTGGTATTGGCTTGGAGTTGGGGCATTGCTTGGATTTGTATTCCTGTACAACTTCTGTTTCACTCTGGCACTGACTTACCTCAACCGTGAGTATCGCTGAATTTTTAGTTTATAAATCTATTTAATCATTTAATGCAGGACCTAGTATGCTAACTTACTTCAAAGTGTGAGAAAGGTAATATTATGACTGACTCAAAGTGTTAAACCTCAGTTAAACTTAATTAATATTACTAAAAAAGTAAGATTGTAAGACCGCATTAGAAGGCATCTGATCCATGATAATTTTTTTTTTTGAAAGATTTGGATTTTATAAAAAAATTTATTATTTTTTTGATAAGTTTAGATTTATTTAAAATATAAAATCTAAATTTTTATAATTATATTGAAAGAACAACTTTACTCTTAAAGAATCTTTACTTTCAAGGTTCTCCATTTTTTAAGACTCTTTTCTATAAAAATAAGATATTAATTTGCTATTAGAAAGGGTCTCCAAAAGTTTAAGACCCAACCAAAACTTTCTGACGAGAAGTCAATAAACCCTTCAATCACTGGGAATCTAGTCAAATGAGTATAAGATTTTGTGATATCTAAGCCTCAAAGGTCAAACGGTATCAGGTTTATAATTTATTCTTATTAAAGTTTAGATAAGGTTTTTTTGATATCAATTGTATAAATATCATTAACTTTTTATTAATAAATTTTAATTCAATTTTTTTCTATAATTATTCTAGTTGAGCTTAGATTGTTCTATTCAAGTAGATCTGTTTGACTATTATTTGTACCATCAAGAAATTATGGATTAGCATCATTTAATATTAAAAATAAATTAAGCGACAAAATTTTATTATATTTTCCTCTTATTTGGTGGACTGGAAAAGATAAAGATATATAAGTTATAAATAGAAAAATTATTTAAAATAAATAGTATCTCCTATTATAATCTAGAATTCAGTAAGTTGAAAAAATTTTTAATTTAATATAAATATGTATCTGAATATTATGTTTGATAGGATAAATAAAAATAAGATAAGTTAGGGATGATAAGATATTACTAAACTAAAAGATATACAAAGGAAACTAATCATAGATATAACTAATTAGATCAAAATTCCTATAATCTTACACTACGTTGGCAAGAAAAGAATAAGATTTGGAATTAGAATTCATGAATTTTAAATCAAAATTCTATTTTAGTGTTTAACAAAGAAGCAAAATTTTTACTACTATCACTTTATTTCCTAATAAATTATTGTAACAACCCAAATTTTAAATTTTATTAGTTCAGGGACTAATTTGAATGAATTAAAACTAAAGGGGCTGAGTTAGAAATATCCCAGGGACCGATTTGAGAATAGGCAGAGTTGAGGAACCAAAATTGGATTTCAAAGAAATCTGATAGGAACAGTGTTCAGATCTGTTCCTCGCTGATTTTCTCCACGTCAAGCAATGATTTCGATCAATTGCTCACGCCACTTTGAGCGTTTTTGAAGACCTGACTGAACCCCTCAAATTGTTTCAGTTTTTGAGCGAGTTGGAGAGAGGATTTTTGAGCTTGTCTTGGTCGGCTGGGTTGCGGGAAACCGAGGGGAGAGCTATGATTTAGGAGCTGTTCTTGCCGTTCTTTTCCGATTGATCGTTGCGGGGAGGGTCGCTGGGGTCGGTCGGTGGCTGAGGGTGGTCGGATCGAGCGAGGTAAGTGGATTCCCTGTGTGATTTTTCAGTTTTTTTTCCGTTCGGGTCGTTGTAGACCGGATTTCTGCAAATGAGTTGGGAAGCCCGGGTTTTCGGGCGAAGAAGGAAGGACTCGACTGGGTTCGGGTCTTGTCGGGGGTCGGGTCGACCGCTGGGCCGGGCATGGCCCAGCTGGACTGCAAGTCCGCGGCTAGAAAAAAAAAGGAAGAAGAAGTTGGGCTCGGCCGGGGCGAGGCCCAAGCAAGGTGGGCCGGCCCAGTTGAGTGGGGTGGGCCCAAAGCTGGCCTAGGCAGGGCCGAGCCGCGGCTGAGCCGAGCCGAGTCGCTGGGCTGGCGGCTCAAGCCGAGCTGCGGCTCAAGTCAAAAAAAAAAAGGGGAGGGTTTTGACCGAACCGGCCAGGAATTTGACGGCCGGTTCAGTGGCCATTTTGGCTTGGATTTGGGAGGTTGGACCGGTTCTGGGTTCGGGGGAGGAGGGCTATCAGACCAAGTGGGTTCGGAAATTTTGGGTGCCCGTTCAAGGTGAACCGACCAGTTTAGTGTATTGATGCTCGGGTGACCGTTCACTGGTTTTCAGGCCGATTCTTGGGGAGTTTTGGACCGGTCCTGGTCCAATATGATAAAACCTAGTTAATCGTGAAGTTTGGTGATTTTTTGGGTGATCGTTCAGGGTGAACCGGTCTCAGTTTGCGTGTTGATGCTTAGGATTAGGGTTTTTGGTTCGGTTCGGAGCTGGTTTGAGCCATTTTTTGCCGGTTCATATGGTTCCTAGGGTTTTTGGCCTTCTGAATCCGATTTTGAGGGTTTCATGGCCATTTGAGTTGAGTCGGAGGTAGTTTTAGACCAGGCTAAACCGGTTCGAGGGTTTTAGAGACTGGTTCGTTGCGGTTCGAGTTTTGTGGAGGCTGGTTCCGTAGTGTTGAGGGTGGTTAAGTAGATTTGTTCTGTATTAGTGAGTCACGTAGGTTCGGTGATAGGTCATGTTGCCTCGAGATGCGTGCCAAGGAGCCAGTTTGGGATTGAGTCCGGTTTGAGGTTACCGACCTGTTTCTCGTGCCGGTTTCAGCGTTGGTGATGGTTTTGTGTGATTTTGATTGTAGATTCGCAGGCAGGGGCACACCCGGACTACTGAGTCGGGCTAGGTGACTCGGGACTCTCGTTTTGGCTTAGCATCTGTACTGTGAGTGATGATACCTTCTCTATGCTTGTGTTTTCATACTGTGATTCTGTTACATGATGATTATGTGGTTTTGGAAACTATATATGATTATATGTTATACTCGGATGTGTTATGTGTTTTGTGAACTGTCAATGAGTTTTGTTAGTATGTGATACTAATTTTGAGATGTGAACTGTATAAGCGTATGTATATTGCTTTTGGCTTATATGTGAGGATTATTGTGTGATGTGAGGCGGCGGGGGCCGCGAGCGGCAGAGGCCGTGGATGTGATGTGTGATGTGAGGCGGCAGGGGCTGCGAGCGGCAGAGGCCGCAGATGTGATGTGTGATGTGAGGCGGCGGGGGCCGCGGCGGCAGAGACCGCGGATGTGATGTGTGATGTGATTTGAGGGACGGCAGGAACTTAGCTGGAGTACGGTGATTCGTATTGTCCAGTGGTGAGTGGCCTAAGTCCAGTGATAGGATTTGGGGACGCAGGAACTCGGCTAAAGTGCGGTAATCCGTAACGTCCAGTGGTGAGTCGGCCTGGGTCGTGTGAGGTGATTGCGATGCCAGGAACTCGGCTGGAGTACGGTGACCCGTAGCGTTTAGTGGTGAGTAGGCCTGGGTCCAGTGCTGTGACATGAGGTGCTGTGATGTGATATTTGGTTGCTGGTATTCTATGTGTATGTTGTTTTGTTTTGCTAATCACTGTATGTGTATGGTTTTGAACTTGTGGCATGATATATATATCCTGATATGCATAGATTAGGTATCATCCGTACTCACTGAGTTTCGTGACTCATAGTTTTTAAACAATTCTAGGTTCGTTTGACTGTACCTACCTCGATTAGCGTGCTAGCGTGGGAGTCGACGACAGCGACTTGATGGACGTGCGGGCACTTCTCTTTTGTATCTTTTCCTTTTGTATTCTAGAGTAGCTTCCTTGTACTCTCAGACAGGATTCCGGGTGGTTTTTTGGATATTATATTATTGCACTTTGTGTATACTTTGGTATCTTCAGAGTTCGACTAGCTTTGTTGAGACTTATTAGGGTCGGTGGATCCCAGTGCCGGTCATGGGCCCGGGGTTCGGGGCGTGACAATTATAGAAAAATTATTGTTACTATTTTATAGTAAATAAATCAACCTCACGATTAAAAAAAATCTCCATAGAAATAAGAATAATAGAATTTACAATAATTATGAAACTATAGAATTGGAAATATTTCATAATTATTTAGCTATCATCTGTAATAAGTATCAATAAATGGAGAGAAAAAAATTATTTGAACAAACTTATTCTGAGTTTTTTGATATTGAAATTTATCTTATTTTTTGTGTTGGTGTAAAAAGGTGGAATTTTTATGAAATTTAGTTTCTATAATTTAAAAAATTAACAACTCAAACTTAATATGAAAAAATCATCAAATGAGAAGAAAACTTCAAAATAGAATTTCTAACTCATTGATGAAAAATTGATTGACTTTTTTTGTCAAATTAAATCTTGTTTATATAATGGATATTTCAAAAATTTATTGGAGTTAATTACTCTGCGGAGCCTATTTGTGCATTCACCTAATTTATAAATATATACATACTAACACGGGATCCTAATTTTATTATGAATAATTCATTTAATAAAATTAAATTTGATTATACATTTCAATATTTATTTATTTTTAAATTTTATTTGAAAACAATATCCTAATGAGAAGGGCATGAGTTAAAAAAAAAGTTTAATATTTTCTTAAATTCGAATTTCACCAAATTTTATCAAATCCTTCGTTGCTATACAGTAAATTATAGATTTTGAAAGGATTTCAACTACTTAGAACAAATTCTAACAAAATTCTGACCGTCCAAATCCTATTTTTTAATTCACCACTTCAAATGTCTAAAAAAAATATCAAAATTCAAAATCCCAAATTTTATGAAATTCTTGTTTGTTAAAAACGATTTATTTGATATTAAATGTTAAACTTGTTATTTTGAAAATCACCGTATTAATTAAATTAATATTAAAAATAATATCAAATATTAATTTAATAAATTATTAAATCATTATTTAATATAAAATATAACGCCAAACGCGATGAATATATTTATTTATTTAAAGCAATTTGTCCAATAATCGAAATTGAGGAGGGCCCCATGCGTACTCTGGTTAGGGCAGCTTTATGTAAGTGGGCTTTTCTGTTCGCTGGTATAAAGGACCGGGCCCTTTCTATCGTTTGGTTTGGCAGATTTTA